TATATANATATATATATATATATATATAATATATATATATATATATATATGTGTGTGTAGTGTGTGTGTGTAGTGTNTGTATATATATATATATATATATATATATATGAGTGTGTGTGTGTGAGTGAGAGAGAGAGAGTGTGTGTGTGTGTGTATGTGTATGTGTGTGTGTGTTTGTGTGTATGTGTGTGTGTGTGTGTGTGTGCGTATTAGTAGGGGACGTCGCAATTGAGTAGCAATCAAAGACTGTGTTTGTGATAAAAAGGCACTTGAAGATAGTTTGTCCTGCCAACTATGTCACTATGCTGAATAGTGCTGACGATTGCTAAAAGAAGGAAATGAGGAAAGTGTGTTCCTTCATGCGAAATACTAAAACTAACTTCGCAGCGGAACGAAACGGCATTGCTGGCCTTCGCACCGGTTCGAACTATATTGAGTTATATGTGACGGATGCAATTAATACATGTTCTATAGTCTATGGTTCACTAAGGCACGAGCTAGAGTTAATTGCGAGCTGATGTGTGTTATGAGGTGCAGGCCTGATATTGCGAGATTCGATCGGTATGTGACTTTATGCCTGTGGTTGTGTGTGCACGACGAACACATCCCCACTGAGACTTGGACTTTGGAGGCGGACAGGCACACGCTGATCGTTAGAGAGGATACTTCAGTAGACTTATTTGTAGATGTATGCGCCAGTCTACAGCCACGAAACACACTCTAGCTACCCAGAATTGGCCACAACACAAACCTTTTGTGCACGGTCTTGTTTAGGTGATATGTACGTGAGCACACTTAAGGCTGAGCGCAATTGCAAAAGACATGTACAGAATACATCATATTACCGCAGAACCACAGTCAATGGTGGAATGCGCATGCACTTACCTGTGAACCACGGACAGCGTCACCATAGCAACCATATTATAAGAGTAGTCGAACCTATGCCGGAATGTGAGGTAGCAAATGTGGTACACGAAGAAACCTGGATAGATTGTTAGATGCGAATGATCACTAGCGGTCGATACCACACTTTGGCTTAACTGAGTAAACAATAGCTACATCACAACAGGCTGAAGGCGTTATGTTGTCATAGTTGTGCCACAGAATGTAAAGGAAGTCCCCGGTAAAGTCAAACCGGTGTGATAGCGTATTTGCCTACATTGCATATGTCAACGAGTACATGAGATATATCAACTGCTTGGGATGTATAACATGCAAAGATACGAAGATGCTCATACTCAAAATGATACCTGAGAGTAAGCTACCACTTGATCGGGGGTATCGGGACTACTATACGGAGGATTTTTATAAAACGTTTAGACTCCATATCAGCTTCGCACACGCACATAAATGTGCAGGCACCTAGGCCCACAACAGCAAGATCGCAACAGAGGTGCTATATAGATAACCGGATATACAACCAAAGCAGAAAACATAATTAGCACAACCTGTTGATAATAGACAACACACAACCGCTCATGGCGATAAGATCATGGCCTTCAGCTTTGTACAGCACGCTGATACGTCCCCGCCATCCTACATATTAATTCGAAAGTTATTCCACCGTTGTACACGTTATGCTGAGATCACATTCCCACATCTAAATCTGTGTCACGCTGTCAGCTACTTCCGACTTACAGGTTAAGGCCAGTGGGAAGATCCAATTCTTCCGTCGAATCCAGTTTGTGTGCCTTGCTGCCGCGTATGTCTGCACGAGAATCACTGCTGTAGCGCTGAAGTAATCCTGAACCCGATATGCGCATGTGGAAAACGACAGGGTGTATATGGTGGCCTGTATCACAACTCCGAATGACAAAAATATGACTGGGTGGGCGTATCATTGAAAGGACAGTCCTCACTGTTATCAATAGCTTCAAACCGGGATATCAGCTGTAGCCCAATTGCACGTACAGAAAGCTGGACATGAGAGGTGGGTGGGTGGGTGAGGCAGTCAGAATTGATATTGTTTGTACTCATTTATAGTTCCATGCCAATGGTCAATCGCTATTGTGCAGTGAAGGACGGGTGGTTTGACTACGTATGAGGACAAAAACACCCGCCTGTAACTTCATATCAACAGATGAATAGATTCTACATGCTATGCATACACATCACCAAGTTGCCATGGACGACGACTATACTGAGGGCGTATCGATAGGCGTATAAAATATCGTTGTATTGTACGTGCGTATGGTTCCTACAAAGTGCTTACCATTTTCTCTGTGAAGGGTGTATCTCTGCAATGAAAAATGGATGACCACACCCATGCGTTGACTGAGAACAGCGACCACGCCATCCAGAGCTCACGCAGACGATATCTGTGTTCGGGGTGTAAATCAATGCTTAATACATCGTGCAATTGCATACACTGCAGACAGAACGTTTCAACCGCGAAATCCTATTCATGATATACGAGAGGTGGCTAGCCGGAGCAAAGATATAGCCCTAACAAAGGTTATGGTGAACCGCCCTGCATGTTGCACGGTTTATGTGCTTCAGATATGTAGGAGTATGATGAAAGCCCCAATATTTGAAAACTAAATATGACTTTGCATGCTAGACTCAGACAGGGTGTGCATGTGCATCAAAATCAAATATGTTAGCCGACTTTATGGGAATACTAGCTTGACTACCTGGAGAAACAAATCTATCATACAGCTAGAGCTATCATTAATTTAGAGAGGTGTCGTTCGTAAATTTATAAAAATATCATTAGAAACTGTATACAAGGGACTCACATACCTTTCAGGAGTGTTGGTAGTGAACTGTTGCAGACCGGTGAGATGCGCCCAGGCATTGAGTATGGACGCGAAGACAGATGCTGGTTCTTGCACCCCGGCAATGCGGATAAAAGGCCACTAGTGATAGATGTACGGTGACAAGCGAGTCAGTTAATGAAAAATAGTATAACTAAGGGATGACAAAAGGAAAATTTATGAAGCTGGCATATCGCAGCGATCCATGGCTAGTCCAACATAGGTGATAACACACGTGGAAAGCGCATGCTGAGCTCGAAACATCATGAAACCGAGGAAGCGTTCACAGCACATCAATCAAATACGGTTGCCGAGTCGTCTGCATCTTTGGAATAACAGCTTACTAATGCGACTTGGGTGTCAGGGCTTGCATAAGACATACCTTTCCATAGAATTGTCGGATTTTTCGACCCCTTTGCACATCCTTTTCTGTGACGGCGTGCATGCACGTGTATTGACAGTCTTCCTCGGGAGTCCACCCTAACCATCGCAGATGCAGATCGATCTGATTTTGTGGATATTTTGTACCACTCCATTCCTCCACACAATTATGTAAACAGTATTGAAAGTCATACGACGTATCACCTACCGACGCCACCACCTACATTGTTTCATTGCTTGGAATCATCAAAATGGCAAAATATTTGCTTATGTACATTAATACATATATATATATATGTGTGTGTGTGTGTGTGTGTGTGTGTGTGTGTGTGTGTGTGTGTGTGTGTGTGTGTGTGTGTGTGTGTGTGTGTGTGTGTGTGTAGTGTGTGTCGTGTGTGTAAGTGTTGCCGTTGTGTGTGTGTGTGTGTGTGT